TTTCATATTGTGGGAAGGTACTGGACATCAACTATCTACATTTTTCCTCACTGCCATCCTTTTCTGAGAGGATAATGAAATGCCCTGTACTTTCTTCCTTAAGCATCATACTGTACTATGGTCCTGATGCTTGCTTGCTTGCTTTTGTACAGGGTCTCCCTTTTAGTCCAGGCTAGCCCTAAATTCATGATCCTCCTGCCTCAGCCATCCCAGGGCTAGCATTGTAGACATGTACCATTATGCCCAGATTTCTTTAAATTTTAAAAACTTATTTCCTCTGTATATAATAGAGAGAGGTCCCTATTGTCACACAGTATAAGCATGCTAAAAAATAAAATAAAATAAATCTTTAAAAACAGCCTTTTTAGAGTACAGAATTTTTGGTAAAAAGAGGATCTACATTGATTTTTTGATGGATGGAAATGCAGTTTTTATTTTGTTGTTTATTTTTTGAGACAGGGTCCTTTTGAGTCAGGCCTGAAACTCACTAAATAGCCTAGGATGACTGTGAACCCTTGATCTTCCTGCTTCTGCTGCCAAATCACTAGAAATATGGACATACAGATATACAAACATACAGACATACACCACCCTGACTAGCTTTCTCCAACATTCACCTGCTTAAAAAGAGTAAGTACACAATAATTATTACAAGGTCCATGTAGTTGCAAAATTTAAGCATGTCATGAACAGTAACTAGTAGATATGTAGTATAATTCAGCAGCCAGTTTACTTAGTTTACTTGAGCAATTTATTACAAAGGCAGTGAGGAGATAAAAACAACACTCTGCTCATCACTTCTCCCCTCTGCAACTGGATTCCAGGAGTTTGGCTCAGTGTTTAGCTGTGGGTGTCTGCTTCTGCTTCCATCAGCTCCTGCATGAGGGCTCTAGGATGGCATAGAAGGTATCATCAATCTCAACAAGGGGGATCTCAGAGACCCCAGACTGATAGCTGGGAAGCCAGCATAAGACAACCCAGACCCCCTGAATGTGGGTGTCAGTTAGGAGGCCTGGGAAGTCTATGGTACCTCTGACAATGGAACCAGGAAGTATCCCTAGGTCAGGAATGGACTTTGGGAGCCCATTCCCCATGGAGGGGTACTCCCTTAGCCTAAAGACATGGGGGAAGGCCTAGGCCATACTCCAAATGACTTGACAGACTTTGATGAGGGCCTCACCCTCCCTGGGGAGTGGATAGGGAATGGGATACGGTGATCTGTAGGGGGCACAGGAGGATGGGAGGGAGAGGGAACTGGGATCGATATGTAAAATAAGAATATTTTAAAAAACATAACTAGGAACTAAAAAACTAATAATAATCTGCCATAAGTTGTTTTTGCAAATGTCCATAAAAATCTAACACAAATACATACTTGTCCTTATCCCTGAAGGTAAGTCCAAAGGTATTCCTGGAAGCATACTATATGTTTTAAAATTAGTGCATGTTTTACATGGCTTCCTAAATTGCTTGGGTCTTGTAGAGTTGTGTTTCTTCTTGCCTCCCTTGTTATTCAGTAGCTTATTGAGGTGTGTCATACTACAATATGTCATACTCTGTTGTGAGCACTGGAAACACAAACACATGACTAATAGCCTGTGATAGAGGAGCTTCACAATGATTCTGGGGGAAAGATGTTACATACACCATTGTAATATAAGGAGTCTGATGCAATGGTAAAAGACTTGCAGTGCTGGTGGGCACAGGATGAAAACATAAAAGAGAGCTGGGCAAGTATCCAGGGGAAATGATGTCCCCAGTGAGTCCTGTAGAAAGCAGCATTTAAACTCAAGCACAAAGAGCAGCAAGTACTTCAGGCACAAAGGCATGAAGTCACAGGACATTTGCCAAGGAGTCACAGAAGCTAGGATCTAAGGAAGTATCTGTGCCATCTGGCCTGAGGGGTGGGCATAAGCTACTGGAAAGTCCAACTAGAGGGATAACAGATCTGGATTTTAGGTCTGCTGTTCTGGTGATTTAAGATACAACATGACCATTCCAGAACATGAGAGAAAGCGTGGACCAGGCCCAGTTTCTGAAGCCTGCATTCTCCAATGTCACTATTAAGAAGGCAGCTACTCCTGGGTGTCTGTGGAGCACCCTTCCATCATGACATGATGCCCAGGGGATTTTGGAAATTCAAGTGCATTACCATGCAACCCAAGGCCTCACCCCTGGAATGACAGACTGTCTTGAATATGAACTGAGCTAGTTGTAGAACTAGCTGCCTTTGACAGTAGAAGCCAAGACAGAAAGCAGCCACCCTTCTCTGTTCATGTTAGCTCTGTAACTCAAGCTCTGCCATAGAAGTGACTCATAAATAGTACAACAGAGCCTGTCAAATGCATGTCAGTTATGTTGAATTTATATTGAAGTATCCTAACAAAGATGAATTCTACATAGCACAAACTCTTGCTGCCTTCATTTTTCCTAATTTATGATATTCAAAAGTATTGTACTGAGTAGTTAATGGCACACTGTAGTAAATACAATGTGGCTGGCTGTTGCTACTAACTGTGCTACATTTCCTAGAGGCTTCTCAGGTTGTCTTGGTTGCCTCGGAGGAGTTGGGGTTGGGGGTGTAGTCACAGCAAGCACAGGTAGATATGTCAGAGTTTAGCTTTTTCCCCTGAGTTTGCCTTTAGTCACCCCACCAGGGATGCTATGCTAAAGAGCCGAGGCATACAAGTCCAGAGATGAATGCACAACAGCCAGTCCTCCTGACAGTTGAAGGACTCACTCCCAGCCCACATTTCTGCCTTGCCCTCATTTTTTGCCTTCCCTACCTTCTTTTTCACCAACAAAAAAGTCAAAACAGAGCATTTATTATCAATGTCCCTCTTAAAATATTTCCTTCCTCTGACATCAGAACTTTTTCCACAGCCAAACTGCCCAAACTATGACTTTCTTCACTCCTTCCCATAACAGCCCTTTCTCTTGACTTAGTTCCTGTCACTGTCCCACCTAGGATGCTCCAAGGATGCACTTGAACTGTTGGCTATCTCATCCTTTATGGGGAAATAGCCACTTAGATACCCACATGCATATGTGTATCAACCAGTATTGCATCCCTACAGTTTACAGTAAAGTCCACAGAGCCTCTGCACACAGAGACTGGGGCATTTTCCAGATTTATTTAGAAAGGAAAGCTAAGTCTAAAGAGATTAATTAAAAGATTTTTTTTCTTTCATTCTTAAGAGAAATCAAAGCTAAGGAAATGGCTGAACTGTTATAAAACAAGCTCATACTTTATAAAGTGAATGATTTAATGACTAACATTCCAACTTTGACAAGATGTTCTCATCTTCAGCTCAATATATTTCAACAGGAAGGTGCTAAACACCTACATTGTGCTTAGATAACCCACAATGTCTGATAATGCTGAAGCCATTCGTACTGAATATGGAGATGGCTGATAGGATCCTGGGACCAATATTTACTGTCACCAATGTGAAAAGAAGGTAGACACAAAATCCTGACAAAGGACAGTCTAGCAGCACTCCACTTGCTTTGGAGAAAGAGACCAGATTGAGCAGGATAGATGATCTACATACACAGTCAGACGTCAGTGATGGATCTGTGTCTCTAAGAGCAACACAGAAAGCCAAATGGATCACACTGCAGTAACCTCAGAAGGAATGTTTGTAATCAACTGTAATACACACAAACACAGTGGGCCTCAGAGCAAAGACTTCACATTCCAAAGGTAGACTCTATCAGTAGAATGAATGGTGAACTGAAAATGCCATCAGTGTAGCAATACACTCAAAAAAATGAGCATAAATAATTAAGTAAAGCAAATAGACAAGCATGTAATACACGATACACTGTCCATGGTATAAGCACAAAATAATAAATGGTTCAAACACGTAAAGATAGAAGCAGCCCTCCTGAGGACTGCTGGAAACATCTCTTGGGGTTCATTAGCTGACTTTGGAGCCACTGCTTTAAAAGGTACAAAGCCAAAGGCAGTTATCTAATTATCAAGAACAACCCTGGATTACTTTCTTTCCTTCACCATAGTAGAGGTGTCCTCAAAGCCCACAATAACTCCATTAAAATCTGAACAATAACTCAGAGTAATGGAAAATCAAGGGAAGAAATCATGGAAGCTTCACATTGGATAGTGAAAAGCAACTACAAGGTGTGAACAATCCAGAAGCAGAATTGATTTTGCCCCTTTTGATCTAAACTGTGTCCCCTATAATTGCTGTGATTTACAGGCTCAGGGCTTTAACCCATGTGTTGTTTCCGGACATAGGAAGGAACCTGGTAGTCATTAAAAAACTGTCACGTAAATAGCCACTTACCAGCTCACCTGGGGAGTATAACAGTGGATAAGTAGTAAAGAATACCAATTTTGTCTATTTTACTACCTGCAAGCTCCCTGAGGAAAGGGGCAGACTGGTAAATTTTCTAAACATCCATCCCTTAATTATCCATACCAACAGATAAGAGAAGAGCTGCATAGAAGTCAATGAATCATCCATAAAAACTAATGTGCTTAGTAAAGAAGATGAGGATTCAGGCACAACCAGACAGCTTTCCTTACATTGCATGGAGTCTGCAGGCCTGACAATGGTAGAGGACTGAGGTCAGACCAGGGGGGGCTTAGAACTCAAAAGATTGATGTCTGAGTACCAAGGTCTGGCTTGGTAATTCACTAACTGCAGACGGTCATTTAACCTGTATAATTCTCCATTCTACTAACTGCCTTGTTGGTTTCTAGGCAAGACTAAATGATATAGAACATTTGAAGTACTCAACACAGACCATAGTAAATGCTTCATAAAGTCCTTTGTGAAAACAGGTTTTTAAATCAAATACATGCTATAGGAAAATAGAAAGTAAAACCTGCTTTTCTCTTGACTGAACAGGCCTGTCCTACCCAGTGTTTCTAGAAAGCCAGCTAACTGCCATCAAGTAGGAAATCTTGGCTCAGTGTGGCAGAATCCGGGGGGCTACTGAGACTAGAAGAGGAGGTGGAGGTCATTTATTACCTGTGCCCAGTGGTTCTTAAACACGATCATGCATGTTTCTGGGTCAACTCCCTTCAGGCTGACAGCCTGCTGAAGTTTGCTTTCTGTAGAAATTGATGACATCATAAACCTTTGACACTTCTAAGTCATATTTAATTTTCAAAAAAATATTGTAGGCAGTCATTAACTTCAAGTATCATTTAAAAAAATGTAACTTCTTCAGTCTTCATGGTCACTTTCCAAAACCTGTAATAACAATAACAAAAGAAAATACATCTTATGTTCATATAGTACACAAAACACTGACTACTAAATTTAAATAAAAGGATAGACATCCTTAAAGTCCAACACAAACAGTAGCTATATGATAGTTACATCATATTATTTATAGTCAATCTAAAGTGTCTCCTATTATCTCACTTTCTTACTAAAAGAAAATGTAAATTAAGCTGCCACTGAACTATATACATGTATTAAACACATGGGGTTTGTTCTCTCCACTGGAAGCAACCACTACCTGCAAGTTACTGTACCAAATCAACCAAATTTAGTTTTCACAACTAAACAAGAAACTATGACATCATATCAACTTTCACAGAATTTTAAGAAACACCTAGTAATAAGAAAACTATGAAATCAATGGTCACAGGGAAAAAAAATGACTTAATCAGCCTTGGGTGAATGCAGGGACTGGAGTTCAGTATATAAAGTGTTTGCTGTGCAAATGTGAAGACTGGAGTTCACATTCCAAGCCTACATAAGAGCTTAGTGGGTGCTGTGGCCTACCTATCCCAGCACTCAGGAAGCAAAGATGGGACGCCCAGTGCAAGCTGGCTAGCTAGATGAGCCAAAATAGTGATCTGGCTTCAATTGAGAGACCCTACCTCAGTCAGTAAAGTGGACAGGGACCAAAACAAGGAAGACACCAGACATCAGCTTCTCATTTCCACATAGGCATACACACCAGCACACATGAACATGAATACACACATGTACACATGCACACACAAACACAGACACTACCACCCAAACTCCTTGGCCCAAAACATTTGAGTTTTGCTGTTTTGTTTCTCAATGACTTTAAAATGAAATTGAAAACTTTCTGCTAGGTGATACCCTGTGTAGTGAGATAGTCCTTCTGTGGCACTGACCACGCCCATTGGGGGGTGGAACCATGGGCGGAGTGACCTGTGGAAGGAGGTCGGAGGGAGAGCGAGGAAAAGCTCTCTTGCTGGCGGGACTCAGACAGGAGAGGATCGGGTTGAATTTCCTGGTGTTCATCTGTCTAGGTTGTAAGTTATTTCTCCCTAAATAAACATCTATTCGGCCTATTTGTTTATCCTGATCCTTATTTAACCGCGATAACCCTGCATCACAAAAGGGGGTGGGGGGAGGAAGGAAAGAAAGATGATTCTAAATCAATCATTTTGTGGTGACATTTCTGAAATATAATACTATTCCAAATAACTTAACAAATCAGTTAGGAATGGCCCATCAAAAACAAGATAGTGTCTTATTAGCTGTGAGTAAAAGGTGGCAAACTTAGAAATGTGAAGAAATCCTAGCTACCACACTAAGGTCACTGGAAAAAAAAATACTAAGGTCACAGACTGTACCTTGAACATATGGGATCTCTGAAAAAAGCAACATGATTGTGGTATTATCCAGTCAGTTCAATCAGCCCAGAAAAGGACTGGGTAGAGTTCAGAATATTATTTCTTTTAGTGTAGAGATTGGAGAGAGTCCAGAAGAAAGTAATCACAATTATCAGAGCACTGGGAAGCAACCCACGATAAGAGTCTTCAGACTTGGACCTGCATGATATGATAGCTCATCAGTAAAGGCACTTGCTGCCAAGTCAGACAACCTGACTGAGTTCAACACTTAGAACCCACTCAGCTGAAGGAGAGATCAGTCCTGCAGATTATTCTCTGACCTCTTTATATGTGCCATGGCACACACATGTATGTGCACACACATAGATAGATGATAGACAGACAGACAGACAGACAGACAGATAACTGCAGACTTATGCAGGTTTGGGGGAGCTGGCTATTTTCAACTTACATGATGGTTGTCACAAAGGGAACAATGATCAATGCTCCTTTCCACCAACCACAAAATGTAAAGACAGACAAATGATAGTGGTATGCAACACAAATTAAAAAAAAAGAAAAAAGAAAAAGAAAGAAAGAAAACAAACAAAAAAGCAAAACAAAACAGAACAGAGATTGGGGTTCAGGCTGGAAGATCAGAGAAGCGAAGCAGCTAGCCACTAGCTCTTACCTCAACCTCAGGCTGAAAGGGTTATTTTGTCCTCAGCATAGCTGGAGAATAAATCTCAGACTGAATACTGAATGCCCTGCTCCTATCTTATATTCCTCTCTAGTGCTGGGATTAAATGCATGGGATCCCAAGTGCTGAGATCTCCTTTGTATGAGTTGTTTCTCTTTTAGATGGATTCACTCTAATTTAACCTTGGGTGGCCTTGAACTCACAGAGATCCATCTGCCTTTGTCTCCTGAGTCCTGGGATTACAGGTGTGTGCCACCACTGCCTGGCCTCTTTGGCTAAATAGTGTGGCTGGTGAAATTAAAGGTGTGTGTCACTACTGCCTGGCTCTATGGCTGTAGCTAGCTTTGCATTTTTTATCTCCAGTGGCTTTATTATCATAAATATACCATAAATAATATATCACTGCTGTGGTGCACACTTTTAACTGCAGCACTTGGGAGGCATAGGCAGGCAGATTTTATGAGTTCAAGACCAGCCTGGTCTACAAAGTGAATTTCAGAACAGTCAGGGCTGATATATAGAGAAACCCTGTCTGGAGGAAAATGTAGAGACAGGATCTGGTTGGTGCTGATCCAAGTTGGATTTATGGGTAAAGTTATTTGTGAGTATAAGATTAAACTTAAGAAAACATGAAACATTAAAAAACAAGTATTTCTGTAGGTGAAAGGGCAATCCAAATGAAAAGATTTTCAAAAAGGGGCTAGTCATAAGAAATAAAATTGTAAGAATAAATAATTTTGAATATGTTTTTAAAGGTGAACAAAGAGTAGAATACTGAGGTTTATAGAAAGGAAGGCCTGTAAGAACTATACACTCACATACATGAGGAAAACTTCTACAGTCATGTTTACTGTAAATATATGAGTTACCCAACCTATATTTCCTACTAATTCAAATGCCTGTTTTCAATGAACACAGTCCACTACAGACCATGGGTCTTTGCCACAAGTAGCTGTACTTTACTGGATCCAGCTGATGTTTATGGGAATGGCAACCCTATATTTGTAGAGCATTGATTTCTTGTTCCCATAGCTCTGATATTCCCTATGACCCCAACTCTTGATCTCCTTACATCACCTAGATTATTTGGCTAACGCTTATCAACATTTAAGTTTGCAGCTTTGTATTGAGCAATAAAACAGGATTGTGAGTCAACTTCCTCACTGTCCCAAGCATGATATTCACAAGAAACCACCAACACCTTTATTCAGAGGATGAGTGATAATGAAGAAAATCAAAGCATCCAGTTTATCCCAGAGGTTGAAAAACCGCAACGCTTAAGATGCTTTCCAGTTCCAGGTTTTAAAAACCCTTCTTCAAAGCAAAGAAGGAACATACACCCTGCCAATTGCCTCCAAGTAAAGAAGAGGAGGAAAAAAGGAAAGAAAGCTGTTTTCTAAGATACTTTAATCCGATTCTCAGAGGGAGCTTACATTTAGCCTTCTCAGAGATGGAAGAGTGTGGTTCAGAGGGAAAACAACTTAACCAACACTCTGAGCTTACAAGTCAGTTTTGATGGAAACAGAACCATAAGTTGCCTGTTCCCAAGTTCATAGCACTTTCTAAGAAGTTATATTCTTTCTGGCTACAACACAATCACTGGCCCCATTCCCATTAATCCATCTTCTCTAGGGAAAATGTATCTCTTTTGGTTTATGCTTTTCCAATCACACTTTTTAAGACAGGTACCTGACTAATCAAAATGTATCATGAATACAGAAACAACAACATAAAGAAAACTTGAGAGAGAAAGAAGAGATGAAGCAAGTCAGATAACCTAATTAGAGACAGGGAAATCTATGCCAGAGACCCACAATCATACTGTGGAACACAATCAGATGACAAGAAGCCAGATGTCACATTCTCTGTCTCTTGTCCAGGTACTAGAGAATTAAAGACTTGGCAGTGGTGGTGCACACCATTAATCCCAGCACTCGGGAGGCAGAGGCAGGTGGCGGGTCTCTGTGAGTTCAAGGCCAGCCTTGTCTACAGAGTGAGTTCTAGGCCAGCCAGGGCTACACAGAAAAACCCTGTCTTAAACAAGAAAAAAGAAGACGAAGAAGAAAAGAAGAGGAATGAGGAGGAGGAAGAGGAGAAGGAGAAAAAAGAATAGAGACAAAAGTAAGCCAAAAGCTAGAGACAGTGAGTAGTCACTAACTGGAATGTGTGAGTCACAATGTGGCAGTCATTTCTCCCTTTGTGCCCTCTGCTCTCTTCAGTCTAAGCCAGTTGGTAGTGGGAGTGTTAGGCTGCAGCTTGTCACTTTAACATAAGCCAAATATTTCCCAGAAATGCACATTTGCCTGGCAACACAAACTTCATGCTTGAGAGAGCTTCACAGAAAGCTCCAACTTCAACAAGTGATTGTCTTTTCTCTTTCTTCAAACAAACCAAACACACACACACACACACACACACACACACACACACACACACACACCACAAAAAACAAAAAAGCAAATAAACAAATACTATTTGTAATAGTGGTAGCAGATTTCAGGGTGTAGTTGCTAAATCCTTTATTTGGAGGAATAAGAATAGAAAAGAGACACCTTCTCAAAATACACTTATAACAACCTAGTATCGCATCACAAAATTTTCAGAACAAAGACAGAGCCATGTATATTATTTCCAAAGACATTATTAATTGGATACATTTCTATCTCATTAATATTATATATGGAGATATTTTATTTCATCAATATAGAAAGAAAATTCATATTAAATATTGATGGTGACAGGAATAGTAACCACAAGAATCATAGGGGTTTTATGGGCCCTATTTTGAATGAATTGGTAGTTGGTTATTAAAGAAAGAATAAACATATGTTCCATATCACAAAAATATCAATATGAGATGCAATCATCAAAGTGGAGGTCCTAAGTGTTCCTTTCCCCCAGAAGCAGATCATCAAGGAAACTGGATAAATAAGAACAAAGTATATTCCAGT